TGTGACTTCTCCCCAGGCTCCTGCCAGGGCAACTCTGTTGAGAGGAAGATCTACATCCCCCTGAACAAAACGGCACCGTGCGTCCGCCTCCTGAATGCCACCCACCAGATCGGCTGCCAGTGTGAGTACGGGGCCCCGAGCTGCTCCTGGGGATGGTGACACCATGGGCCAAGGGGGGTGGCATGCAGCTTTCCTGCTGGGCTTGCCTAGATCTGCACCGCCCTTGTTCCCAGCGCTCTTTTCCGCTCCTGCTCCGGTAACACTGAATATGCTGACCCCTTCCTGCTCAACTGAGAGGTGGAGACCTTAGGCTGTGTTCCTACGGGCCTCAAAAATCCCTGCTCACGCCAAGAGCAGCATTTTGAGCTTGTGCGGTCAGTGCACGCGGAGGACGAAACCAAGGCACAGCTTCTAGGGGTACGAGGCAAACCCATGAGCGCTGCAGAATGGATTGGGAACAACAGGCTACGAGAGAAAGGGAGCAGGAAGTGAAGAATTGGGAAGGTGGCATCTGAAGGGAGGGCTTGAGCTGCTTGGGCAGTGCTTGTTTACTTTGTAAGGGTTGGTTGTCACATTGGACTGGGGAAGGCAGGACTGTGTGACTGTTAAAATGAAAAGATAGGTAAGGGAGCCCCATTCAAGGAGTATTCCTGGCTGAAGTTAGTGTGAGTCAGTGTTTTGCTCATTTCCAATTCAGTTTTGCTTCCCCAGGGAGCCACTCCCTGCAGTGGAGGTTGTCGGCTGCCGCTACAGGGCAGTACAGCTGCACTTGATCTGTCAGATAACCAAGGGTACAAGGTTCTCTTGACTCCTCTTCCACCCTCTACATGAGCCTAGTGCTAGGGCAGACAGCCACACGCAAGCCTGCCTTCCCGGTCACGGGCGGCTTCCAACCATGACAGCAGTTACTACCTGGGGGGGCTGACAAAGTGCTTGTTTTTATCAGTAACTTCTTACGAAAGTGTTTTGTTTGTTGTCTGTTTTCTTTGGGACGGGGCGAAGTATCAAGCGGTGGACCTGCTTTGTTGCTAGTCCCCTCTGCTGTCACAATCTTTTGCCCTTTGCGCTCCTCCGGGCCTCGTGCTGAGCCGTCTTTGAACTCTCAGGTTCTGAATTTGCCATCTCTACTCTTTGCTGAGGGGCAGCGCTAAGCTGCTGCTGTGACCGTGGTCCTTGAAGCAGGGCCTGCCTCTTCCAAGTGTCTTTCTGTCTTGGGGCCTGTTTCCTGCCATCCTTCCTGATTCCCTTCAATCACAGGCGACTCGTAGTGCTTAGTTAGCTGGAGGCCCTTAAGTGCTTTGATGCGCTTAAACAAAAGATGCTTTCAAAGCATGAGTGCTTATTTCTTATAACCTATGCTGTTCAGCTTTTTTCTTTCCCTAGCAAAAGCCATGGCTTCTTTTTCTGCCCTGCTCTGGCTAAATGGTGCCATTTCACCAGATTGATTCCTCCAGCCCTCTAATCCCATGAGCTGTTCTTCCCCAAAGCCTTCAGTAACGTACTGCCCTGCTATTCCGGGGTGGTTTGGGGGTGCGAAGGGAGTAGATCACTGGGAAACTTGAAGGGCACGCTCTCTTTCCACAGCCTCCATCAGCGGAGACACAGGGGTCATCCATGTGGTTGAGAAGGAGGAGGACCTGAACTGGGTGCTTGCTGATGGCCCACACCCACCCTACATGATACTGCTTGATGGGAACCTCTTCAACAGGTCAGGCATCACCAGGTTTTTATCTTCCCGGGGTGACTGGAGCCCAGAAGACCAATATGAGTCCCTAATCTGGTGATGAAAATGTCATTTTTCAAGTGACAGGATGGCAAAATCAGGCCTGACTGCACTGAAGTATAGTGAGGTTGAAACGTTTGTGGCTTTACTGTGGTTTAGTGCCTGAATTTATTTCTCAAATGGGCTGTTTTGCTGTTAGAAGAGCTGTACTCTGTGTAAATTCTCATGCCATGTTCATCACTGTAGCAGTTACTGAAGTTCATTAAACAACGTGGTTAAGATTGGTCACATCTGTTCCTGGGCAGAGCAGGAAAGAAGTGACTGAAGTTTTCTGCTTGTTGCTGTGTGGGTAATCTCATGCGGTTCTGAGAAGATAAAGGGTTGGTTATTTTGATCAAAAGCATCATCACATGCTCGAGTGGAATACGCCAGCATTCGCTTGTCTTGGATTGCAGCTCTTCATTAATGAATTCAGAATTTCACTCGTATTTTCTCTCTTCCAGGAGGGTAATGCTGCAGCTGAAGGGAACCTCACGAGTGTCAGGCCTTGCTGTGGCCATTGCCAAACCTAGCCCTCCCCAGGGATTCTCTCCTGGTTTGAAGTGCCCCAATGATGGGTTTGGTAAGGAAATGTTGAGTCTTTATCTTTGTTGGGAGGAAGACCAATGGTGTCTTTACATTGTACGGTCAAAGCAAGAAGTGCAAAGGGTTGCTGAAATTGCGGCTACGCTTTCATTTCAGAATGGTGTTTAAGGTAACAGGTTCAATATGTTCTTTCGAAGTAACTGGTCTGAGCTGGAATCTCATCATTTTTAGCCAGGGCTGGGACAGTGTTTAGGACAGGACTGTTAGATAAGCTGGCTAAACCAGCGTTAAGTCACAAAAGGAGCAAGGAGCGGCTGAGGGAACTGGGGTTGTTTAGTCTGGAGAAGAGGAGGCTGAGGGGAGACCTGATCGCCCTCTACAACTGCCTGACAGGAGGCTGTAGCGAGGTGGGGGTCGGCCTCTTCTGCCTGGTAACGGGCGATAGGACGAGGGGAAACGGTCTGAAGTTGTGCCAGGGCAGGGTGAGGTTGGCCATTGGGAACAATTCCTTCCCCTTGGGGCTGTCAGGCACTGGAAGGGGCTGGCCAGGGAAGGGGTCTAGTCCCCATCCCTGGAGGGATTTAAAAGCCAGGCAGGCCAGGGGCCCCAGGTGAGGGGGTCCGTTGCCCATCCCTGGGGGGATTTAACAGCCGGGCAGAGGCGGTGCTGAGGGCCAGGGTTTGGGGGTGGGATGGCAGGGGTAGGGGAATGGTTGGACTTGATGAGCTTAAAGGGCTTTCCCAACCCAAACGATTCTATGATTCTATGACAGTGTTAAACCTGACCAAGGGTCATTTTAACTTCTTTTTCTTTAACATGTGAAACTTGTGCTTTGTCCACACGTGATCATTAAAGCATCTTGTGTTTGCATAGATTGAGTGGAGTGTGTGTTATCCTTTCTCTCTGGGCCAGAGGCTGCTTTTTGAAATGACACTCTGCCTCCCCGAATTCCCCCTGTGGTTTCAGTTAGGTTTTCATTTCGCTATTTTTTTCATGCAGCAAATTTACTGTACTGCACTTTGAGGGGAGAAATCGCTCCACCTTCTGTAGTTTACACAAAGCTTTCTGCTGTGAAGGATGCCATATACGCTCCTGAGATGAGTTTGGTCTGCTGGCGTTTGTCGTGTCTCTGCCTTTGTGCTGTTTGCGCAGTATCTAGGCGTTAAAATGCTTGGCGCATTATGGATGCCTTAGGGTACATGATGAGCTCAGAAAATGTGGGTTTGTATGTTCCCCCTTTTGAAGTATAATGTTTCTCTGTGTGCCTTCTCCGCTCTCTCAGCATGTGATAAATGCTCACTGAGTGCTCGTGCCAGCCTCCTGGCACGTGACGGCTTGGAGCACGCATGTTTCTCACTCTCTGTGTGGCACAGCACTCTGTCTCTGCCACTCTGCCGCATGCAGTGACCAACTCCATCTCTCCAAGCTTTTGTCAGCTGGTTCCTCAGCCCGTAATGGCGCTCATTCTATATTTGCTGCTATTTTCTCAGCAGGCCCTACCTCTCCTGCAGTCTGTTATTCTCTTGCAGGCTCAGATTTGCCCATTTTCTTTCTGTTTCCAGGTGTGTATTCCAAAGATTATGGCCCTCAGTTTGCACACTGCAATAAGACTGTGTGGAATCCTGTGGGAAGTGGGCTTTCGTATGAGGATTTTGACTTCCCTATTTTTCTCCTTGAAGATGCCAATGAGACACAAGTTATTAAGCAGGTACTGCGCTTCCTCAACGAGCAGGAGAGGGGAATGGCTGCATGGTTCAGGAAAGGGGGCAGAAGCTTTGTTTTCTCTCAGCTTAGGTGTCAAAATTACAATAAAAATGCATGATGCAGTTTTGTATGCAGTACAAAATGCTTTTACAGAAAGGCTAGGTTTTGTAATGACTTTTATTTCCATCCAGTGTTATCAAGACCATAATGTCCCCCGAGATGGATCTGGCCCCGAGTACCCTCTCTGTGCCATGCAGCTTTTTTCCCACATGCATGCTGTCACCAGCACGGTTACCTGCATGAGACGCAGCTCCCTCCAAAGCACCTTCAGCATTAATCCAGGTGAGCAGATTCCTCTTTCCTTGTCGTGATGTGGGATAAGGCTGGTGCTAAAAATCCCAGTGGAATACAGTTGTGCAAAAGAAAGAAGATTTTAGAGTTTCCCTAAAGGCTTGCTTGCCAAATGAGCCTTTTCAGAAGAAGCTATTCAAGTGGTAAGGAATTCTGGGCTATGTTTGTCATCAGTTTAGAAACTAATATGGAGAAGAGATGCTGGCTGAGAAAGGTACCTAATACCCACTATGTAGATCAGAAGTGGCTCTGAGATTACTGCTCCGTTAGACTGTGTGGACGTGAATCAAAATCGTGGCCCTGGTGAATGTTTTGCCAGTGACTTTCCTGGGGCCAGGGCTTCACCCCTGCTGAGCAGAAGTTTGCTCCTGTGATAGAACCACTAGTGAGCTACAGCTGACCAGAGAGGTCATTTCTTACTTGTCACTGTTGTAGTCTCAACTCAAACAATGTTGTTTCTGCTTCCTAGAGATTGTATGTGATCCTCTTCTTGATTACAATGTGTGGAGCACCTTGCAACCTATCAATTCCTCTGGAAAAGTCGATCCTGAGAAGGAAGTTATTATTGTCGCTACACGAGTAGGTACCTCTTAATCTCCCTTTGTAGAGCATGGACTGGAAGGGTTCTGGGAAGATGAGTCTTGTGGGAATATACTCCTCGTATATCTTAATTTATTCCCATGTTCCAAACCTTCTTTTATATCTGACTGGCTATTGTGTTTCTGCAAGTATGAGCCTTTTAGTTGGTGGGTTTACCTCTTGTTTCAATGTGAGGACATCTGCATTTTGTTTCTTTCTGTCTTGTTAATGCGAAACTTTTTTTTCAGCATTTGGTTCACTGACGGAACCAGGGAAGTAGAAATAGTGCGCCTGTTATGCTCCCCTAAGATATTTCACATCCTTAAAATGTGTTTCACAGGAAGACACCATGGTTGGCTTATCTGTGTTTTTTGGGGGAGAGAGGCTGAATCACATGGAGATTTTGTTGTGTGTCAAGCAGTGAGTCAGTGTCAGATCTGAGAAAGAAGTTCCCTTCCCCGTCTAGCAGTCTGGTTTACAGTCACTTTATACCCTCCAGAGATGCAAATTCAAAACTCTGTTTAGTCCCTATCTCAGAGGCCCACGCTGAACAGCGATGCGAGCATTAAAGTTACGGCACACTTAATCTGTTTTCGGGGCAGTGGCAGGGCTCTGAGGCCTCAGGACTGCCACAGCAATGCAATTGGTATTTTAAATTTCATTAGGCGGGGTGCTTTGGTTCTTCCCTTACCAATAGGATAAGCAGGGTAGGAGAGAGGTGACAGATTTGCTGTCCCAGTACAGTATTCCTCTGTCTATGAGTGCATTTCTTACATCTCCAGTTCATGCTTACAGATTGACAGCCATTCCTTCTTCTGGAACATTGCACCTGGGGCAGAGAGTGCCGTCTCTTCTTTTGTGACCCACTTGGCTGCTGCTGAAGCTCTTCATAAAGTGCCAGATGTTCATTTGCTGCAAAGGAACATAATGTTCACCTTCTTCCAAGGGGTAAGAGCAGCGGCAGCGCTCCACCATTTGGCTTGTTCTAAGACAGCAAATCAGCCCTTGGCTCCCTGCAGATGAACTTTTTCCCCACTCTTTGTGCAGAGTCATTTGTCTGCGTCCCCACACGTGGTTCTCTCTGCTCCTCCAGTGAGAATGGGATCTTAATTGCACTGGGATAACAACAGCAGATGGAGCTTCCACTGGGGCAACCCATATTCTGCCCCAGAGTTCATTCTGGATGAATCACTCAAACTTTGCTTTCCCTCCTGTCTCCTCCCAGTGTGCCTGTCTGTTCTCTGCCTCACCCCCGTTCAGGATGAATTGCAATGGCCAAGCTTTAAATTCTGAAATAAAGCCCAGAAAAGGCTAGATTAAAAATATATGTGTTGACAGCAACAAAATGTAGCTCATTTCTGAGAGCCCAGCACTGAGTTGGCAGCTGTGGGAAAGCAGAACAAGCTTGTGGAGGAGGGACTGATGGCCAACAGCTGATGTTCCCCTCAAGGCATCTACACTGATGGCTTCTTTTGTGCAGCTTTGTGAAACTGGCTCCCACAGCCCCATGCTTCCCTTCATTCACCCTCCTCGGCACATATATCCCTAGTCAGGATTGCCCCGGGGGAGACAGGAATGCAGTGCTATGGAGCGGACATTCCCTGTCGTGCTCCCAAGATGTAGGGGGAATGATAAGACTTGGCTGTAAATTAGTCAAGGGGGAAGCCTGGTGGCTGGCCGAGTTCACTGCCCTTCTTTGTCATGGGGATTCTCTCAGGGGCGTCTGTTCTTCCCCAGGCCGTGCTCAGCTTCTTGGAGCTCCCTTGACAAACTCATTTCTGTCATCTAGCCTTCCCTCCCTTTTCTCCAGGGAAACAGACACCCCTCCTTTCAAGAAAGCTTTGTATGTTTAATTCCTGGAATAGGGAATTGCCCTTTTCCCTGAGTTGCTCTCCTCCTTACCAAAAAACAAAGAGGATGACTTGTGCCAGAGTAAAGGCTGTATCAATGCCTCTCTGCTGTTACTCACAGTATCTTGCTAGATATTGGTGTTCGCTTAAGCCTGGCTTTGCCTCTGTGCCTTTCTTGCTTGTGGAACTCAATAGCTGTCCCCTGGGTTTTTTTTTTTTGCTCTTTGCCTTCATTTCTGTCCTTTTCTCCATCCCTTCCTACAATAGCTTTGTATTTGGAGTCAGGCACAATGTAATATTTACTTTTGTCTTTTGGTGTGTGCCAGGCTATGCAAATCTTCAGAAATACCTGGTGCGGTCGTTGGCTCTCGCACTGTTGGGTTTGGTCCCCCTCAGCCTCTCGGATATTGCTGTTTGTTGTGTGATCTATCCGTATCTCATTCATGTACGATTTTTTTTTTCTTTCTGTTGCAGGAGACCTTTGATTACATTGGCAGCTCACGAATGGTGTATGATATGGAAAAAGACAAGTTTCCTCTCCGCTTGGACAACATTCATTCATTTGTGGAATTGAATCAGGTGTGGGATAAGTTAGGGGACCTTTATTATTCCCTGTTTCTCTGTGATAATTTAGCTGTGGTTTTCCCAGCCAGCCTTTCACTGGTTTTCCCTGGACTGGACTTCCCTGCTCTGCAAGACTCGGCGATGTCCAACCATGTACTTATGGTGGTTTGGTTTTTCTTTTCTTGAAGGTGGCTTTAAGGAACGACTCGATTCTATGGATGCATACAGACCCCGTCTCTCGGATGAACGAATCTGTTGAAGTGCAGGTAACAGAAAGCAATCTGTAGTCATTCCTCTAACCAAAATCCTGTGGGATCTTTCGCACGCTGCACATGATCAGGATGTTAACCTTTCCAGAGAGATTTACACATCCAAAAGAATAGCGGAACAGTGCCCTTTTCTCTTCTTTCAGGTTAGAAACTTGCTAGATATTCTGAGTAACAGCAGCGTGGGAGCAAACGTGACTTTGCAGGAAGCGGGATTTTCGCAGCCTCTTCCCCCATCTTCCTTCCAGCGCTTTCTTCGCGCCCGGCACATCCCTGGAGTGGTCCTAACTGACCACAGGACTGCCTTCCAGAACAGGTACTTCTCCAGGGTTGATGGGCACAGGCTGGCCCATGGCTGAAGGCAGCAGAGCCGGCAGAGGGCATGTGAGCTCCTGCAAGGCCTCTGCCCGGGGTGTGCTAACATACATGTAGCACGGCAGTCCGAGGGGAGCAGAGGAGCAAACATGTGCCATGTAATTGAACAAGCGCAACATAATTATTCTGACAACCGAAAGAAATCCAGTTTTGTACAGAAAATGTTCCCCACAGCTGGCTAGAAGCCAGAGGTGAGCAAATGGCAACTGAGCGTGCCTAAGCCTCATCTGTTCTTCCAGAAGCTGGCTGGGTTTTTTTTTTTCTTCTTTTTCTTTTTTTTTTTTAATATAGCTTTCTATTTGTGATGGCAGAAAGCCCCAGGCATTGGAAAGGGCACTTCGTTCACCCCACATGACCCTACTACAGCGTGTTCCTTGGGGATCCCCTGCTCCTCTTCAACTTTGGAAGCGGAAATGTGGGGTAGAGGACAGACATATGCCTCTCCCCTCTTCCCTGAACTCTTCAAATCGTCTCTTCCCCTTCATCTTCTGTCCTCCTCTGCTGTTTCTGAGAATTTCTGTAGCAATCAAGGGGAAGTAGCTTCCCTTTCACCTCTAAATCTGCACTGCTTTAGAGGGGTAAGAGGAGCTGGGGTGGAGAAAAGCGCAACTCGCTGTTGCGTGACCCGTCTTTAGACTGGGGGGGGGGATCAGTCCCGGGCTGGCTGGGAATGTCAGGTGCATAGACCATGCAGTGGGCTTTCAGCCCAATTCCCAGTTCAGCTGTGTGTGCTGCAGATGCCTTGGTGTAAATCTCTCCTAGAGTTCACTTGGAATTCCTCGCTGCCTTCAAGATAAGGCGTTAATAAAATCCACCGGCACGACTCGCATCAAAAGCCCTCTTCCCAGGAGACCTTCTGCGTGGGTTGTCCTTGCCTCAGTTTCTCTACCCATTTAATAGATTGGGCTGTCGCCCACCTGAAAGCTAATCACAGCTTGTAAATTGCGTGGAGATCCTCAGATGGGAGAAGCTGTGGAAGGGCCAAGTTAATTATAAAGCCTCATTAAATGGTTTAAGGAGCGTGTGGCAGGGCAGTGCTTTGGCAGGGCTGTCTCTCTGCTCCCAGGAGACTGCTCCCACTGTTTGCTTTAGGCACACTCTGAATTGAATTCCATGCCCTGTGGTTTCTTTCTGCCCCTCCCCAACCTCTGTTTGCCGCCTTCTTTTCAGATACTACCAGAGCATGTACGACACTCCAGAGAACATCCGGATGCAATACCCCGAGGGGCTTAGCCCTGAGGAGACCCTGGAGTATGTCACAGACACAGCCAAGGTTCCTACTTTGCATTTTCTTTAGCTGCTGTATCTGGGGTGGATGGGGCTTTGGGTAGGGGCAGATAGAAGCAGGGTCAAGGGGAGAGGGGGGAAAGCTGTTTCCAAAAAGGGCAGAAAGAAGGTGGGAGGGCTTTGTACATTGACAAAGGCAATAGGCACTCAAATGCTAGCACGATGTAAACGTTTTGATGGATGTGTAGATTCTGGCTTGCTCTCCTCGCTTGTTTTGCTGGATCTGCCTATCTTGATTAACACAGAGCGCTCTTCCTTTGCAGTCCCTGGCAGAAGTTGCCACAGTGGTCGCCCGTGCTCTCTACCGGCTTGCAGGGGGATCCAACAACACCTCTGCTATTCAGGCAGATCCAAAAACGGTACGAGCAGATGGAATTGAGTCCCTGGCATCTCTGATGAGCCCTCACGTACTTCCCTTCTGTCTCTGTTTATATGTGTTTACACAGCATGCTGTCCTGTCTGTCTCCATGAGGGCTTTGCCCCCCCCCCTTCTCTCTTTCCCCACCGCAGCTGAATGAAAAACCTTTCACCCTCCTCTAGTTCCTCGCCTCTCGATCTCAGGGCAGACATTAAGCTTCACGAGCCCTCTACAAAACAGAGCTCCTTTATCCTCGTTCCACAAAGCAGAAGAGGAAGCTGAGGTGAAATGGCAATGTGTGCCACAGGGATCAGCTAAGGAGTCGGTGGAGCTGGAGTCAAACCCAATTTTCACAGCTCTGTCCTGAATTATAGACAGTTGTGACAGCGAGTCTCTCCTTTGCTGTGCTCTTGGCCCTTGTAGTGGGAAACATCTGTCAGCCAAATAATCTTGAGAGGTATAGCTGTTAAGATGCTTATTTTCTCTCCTCTTTGTATAAACCAATTTCCGTCTCTTTCCCAGGTCTCTCGAATGCTGTATGGCTTTCTGATTAAAATGAACAATTCCTGGTTTCAGTCCATCATTAAACCAGACATAAAAGGAATTCTGGGTAAGAGCAACATAGGGAAGAAGAACACAGGAATGGGTTTGACCCCATATGTTACCTGGCAGCTTTCTAAAGCACCGTACTAACATGGTCTGCTTCTGGCCATCTCCTCGCCAATCCCATTTCTCTGACTGTTCCAGGTGATGTTCCCCAACATTACGTTGCCGTTTCCAGCCCTGTGAACACTACCTACCTTGTACAGTACGTCCTGGCCAACCTCACGGGCACTGTTGTTAACCTCACCAAGGAAGAGTGTGTGAACCCTGAAAAAACACCCAGCAGTGAGAAAGAAGTAAGCATCCATTTGGGCGGGACGATAGGTAAGGACAGAGCTGCTGTCCAATTTGCTGGTTTCTGCTTTTGTGGAAAGCTGGTGAGGAATGCTTTCTATTGCTCATAATAACACGTGGGAGAACTGGGAAAATCCTCCAACAAGGAGGCATCTTAACACCCGAGGGCAGAGGAGGAGTGGGCAAAAGGATCCCCTTACAGTGAGAACAGTCAGTAAAGCCTCTCTCTGTCTCCCCAGAGACACGGGTAAGGTTCCAGAACAAGGGGATAGTCTGGTTATTTGCTAGTGGCTGTTTGCTGTCTCTTACTCTCCCGTTTTCTTTGCAGATGTATGATTATGCCTGGGTGCAGGGTTCCCTGGACCCTAACTCAACATCACGAGTCCCCTACTGTGTTCGGTCAACTGTTCGCCTAACCAAAGCACTCTCTCCTGCCTTTGAGCTGAGGCAGTGGGGATCTACAGAGTACTCTACATGGACAGAGAGTCGGTGGAAAGAGATCCGTGCCCGAATATTTCTGGTAGCCAGCAAGGAGCTAGAGGTGAGTTTGTACATGTCTGAAAAAGATAGTAGAGGGAAAAAATGTGGCTAGCATAGAATAACATCTCCCGATAGCTGGAGAAACAGTTCAGAGTTTGTTACAAGATCTTGTGCCATCATCCTGTGTGGGCTGCCCAGTTAAAAGCAGCCAGGCTTTGATCCTTTGAGGTAACCAAGAATGCATCACTGGTGATAACCCTACCACCTCCAGCCATTTGTGGGTTAATAACCTAGTCACTGAGGCCTGAGACAGTGCAGAATAATCAAGGGTCCCAGGAGCAGGCTGAGCTCTGTGAATAAAAGAGAGAAGTGACAGGAGTCTTAACCCTTTCCCCAAGCACAGGGAGCCAAGCCAGTGAATCTGGCTGTCGAGGTGTTTTGCCTGACGTGCAGCCCAGCTCTTCCTGCCTGCGGTTCGAATCCCCTCTCGACAGTGCAGAAAGAACTTGGGCACAAACCTTCACAAACCAAAGCTGCTGTTGGTTCAGTGTCTCGGATTCTAAGCAGCCCTTAGCTGGGTGTGATGTGGCTTAAGTGCCAGCAGAATAAGGGTTAAGCGTACAGTTACTTTGGGACCCAGTGCCTCTCTTGATGCCCTCTGGTTGGCTGCTAATGATGTCATACCCTGTCAGGACAGACTCAGGAGTGCACAGCGAAGTCATCATCATGTTCGAGCAGTAAGCCACCCAAAGGCCATGCAAGCCCAGGCAATTGTTGCTTCTCTGGGATGATTATTTGAAATCTGAGCAATTTCTTTTGTGTGGCACTGGGCCTTTTTAACACTGGCAGGCAAGCACAATGCCCTGCCTGTGTGTCTCAGCCTGATACTGGTGTCCTGGAGATGCACAGTTTGAGCCCAGCCATCCCTGAAGTGTTGACCTGATAGAAAATGTCCTGAGAGAGTTGCAGCGGCGCGTGAGTGTCTGGCCACTGCCTGGGGGCTGTTCTGAGCCATCCAGGGGAGACTGGGAGCGGCCATCCTGCCATGCAAGGAGGAGGGTTGACAGGAAGGAATCTCACGAGGCCTTAGGCTGGTCTGGTGCTCAGGCTTCAGGAAAGGCGCTGAGCAGGAGGCAATCTCAGTTATACAGCAGCTTTTGGCAGATGTTGATTCTGCCAGTAACTGGGCTTTTGGAAAAGATTTACAGTTCCTTGCTGGAGGAGATGATAGTTCCTGCAGGAGTAGCCCAAGTGTCCCATTAAATGCTTGCTAAAAATCTTTGCGAACTGCGTCGACCACTCTGAAACGCGATACGTTCACTGTCCGTGTGTGGTGGGTTGACCTTGGCTGGACACCCGGGGCCACCCAGCACCCGGACCGCCCTAGCAGGACAGGCAGGGAGAGAATGAGATGGAAAAGAAAGAAAACCCGTGGGTCAAGATAAAGGCAGTTTAATAAAAAAAGCAAAATCAAAGGCTGTGCGTGGTAGCAAAAGGAAAACAAGATTTTATTCTCTACTTCCCGTTAGCAGGCGATGTCCATCCCCTTCCCAGGAAGCAGGGCTTCAGTGTGCATAGTTGTTGCTCCGGAAGACAAAATGTCATAAAAGATGAATGCCCCCCACCCCTTCCTTTTCCCTTAGTTTTTATATCTGGGCTGACATCATATGGTATGGAATATCCCTGTGGTTGGTTTGGGTCAGGCGTCTTGGCTACGTCCCCTCCCAAGATCTTGCCCCCTTCCAACCCACTGCTGGGTGGAGGGAATGTTGGAGACCCAGCCTTGATGCCGTTGGAGCACTGCTCAGCAGTAGCCAAAACATTGGGGTGTGATCAGCCCCTTTCTACGTACCGATAGAAAGCCCAGCGCTGTGCAGCTTGACCCAATACACTGTGATACAACCTTTTTCTCTTAAATATCTGTTTGTGTGCCCTGTTGATAACTGCAGCGAAAGCTGACCTGATCCTGTCTGGCAGTTGCTGTTGTCTCAGTCTGTAAGGTCCTCAGAGGATCTTTTTATTTCAGTCTACGTAGCGCCTCAGTAGGGAGCTGGTCTCCGTAGCTTTCTGCTGGAGACCCCCGTTGGCTGCAAATTCTGTGAGGTGCTGGTGGTCTGTGTTTGTAACAACAATGCTAAGTTTTTCTCATCCCTTCCCAGATAATCACTTTGGTTGTGGGCATTGTCATTCTGGTCTTCTCTCTCCTCGCCACGTATTTTATCAACGCCAAAGCAGATGTACTTTTTAGCATCCCCCGGGACCCTGGGGCTGTGGCTTACTGAAGATGCTTTCGGGGCTTGAGAAGTCTTAGCCCTTGGATTACAGTTGTCAAAGATAAAACTACACTGGAATGCCCCTCTCTCTGGATAGGGATGCAAAGGGTTCTCTCCAGAGCTTTTGGGTTCCGGGGACTGAACCCTAAAACGGAAGAGACTTTCCCAGAAAAACGTGCCGACCAAGCCCTAAAGAAACTGTGACTGAGAAGTTCCTAAAGGCTTTCTTTTTAATTTGTCCTTCCTTCTGAGCAACTTGAGAGGATTGGTCCTGAATGCCACTGAGACGAGAATGTGACAGAGGTCTTCCCTAAACGAAGGCAAGGGTGGAAAGGGTAAAGGTATTTTCTCTGGGATGTACGTGGACCAGCAGCTTTCCATGGTGTCTGCCAGCACAGGTTGCCTGTGAACGTCCAACAGTTGCTGTGGATTTGTGTATACGACAACACAGGGAGGGCAGGGCGTGTTTAACAGATGATTAGATGTAAAATGTCCTTTTTTTTTTTTTTTTTTTAAAGGGGCAATTTTTTCTGGGGGTTTTTTTAAATTTAAAATAGTTCCATT